CCCCGCCCATTGGAAGAGGAGGCCCCGGCCCCGCCCACTGGATGAGAGGGCATCTGACCCGCGTGGGCTCAGAGAGGTCAGTGTCAGGAGGGAGAAGGCGGCGGCATGAGAACAATGGCCTGTCCCCCCGAGAGGCCCTCCCAGGAGGCCCCCAGAAGTCTCTGGCCCCCTGTGCGGGGGAGCCACGGGCTGCGCCTCCAGGAAGGGCCGTGGGGACAGCGTGGCCCGGCGGGAGCACAAGGAAGTCCGTCCAGAATGGATGGAGAGCAAAGTGCGGTCTGTCCGCGCGTGGGGATGGCGGTCAGCCTGCTGCCCTGGGACGGTCCCCAAGGACAGTGAGCCAGACACAGAAGGACTAATCCCGAGTGGCCCCTCTCCTCAGGCTCTCCACAGAGACAGAAAGGGGCAGGGTGGGCGCCAGGGGCTGGGGAGGGGGCTGGGATTTAGCATTTCACGGGGACAGAAGTACAGTTTGGGAAGATGGAAAATTCTGTGGGCGCCTGGTGGTGGCGTTGCTGGGCAGGGGGAGTGGGCTCAACGCCCTGGCGGTGCTCAGGCTCGGGGCTCTGCACCCGGCTCGCTCCAGCCCTGCCTGTGTGTGGAGCCCAGAGGTGGGTGGGGCTCCCACGTGTGCAGGTGGGGCGGCCAGGGCCCCAGGCGGGTGTGACCAGGCCCGGTGCACGGGGAGCCCGCGGTGGGTCCCCCTCAGCAGGCAGCTCACTCCGGACCCGCGCTCCTACCCACCCAGCTGCCCTGGGGTTGGAGCCCAGGGCCACGTGCCCCTTCCCCATCACAAGTTGGGAAACTGAGTCACGAGCTCAGGACGTGCTCCCAGCCTCCCATCCCCTGGGAGAAAGGAGACTTAAACTCAAAAATTAAGTTGATATTTGAAAAACACAGTTTACTTCGGTGCCTGTCTCACATGGGCAGTGAGGGGGACATTGCCACCAGTAAGATAGGGAGCTGTGGGGACGCAGAGACATCTGAGCCAGCTCTTGAAGGACAGATAGAATTTTGTTCTTAATTTTAAGCAGTGTAACAATTACACAATTAACACATAGTCATTGAAGACAAATTGAAATACACATTATGCGTAACACAGAAAAAAGTTATAATACCCTGAAATCTCGTCACTCAGATTAGCGTGTTCATATTTCAATTCATATTCCTAAAGTTCCCTCCACTCCCTGTGTTTCAGGATCACATCCGTATTGGCAACATGTGTGTGTCTACACCATCACGTCCACTGTCTACACAACAGTCTGTGTATGGACCCAGCAGACATGGCTGGGGTAGGCGGGGAGCCTCCAGGGAATTCACAGGTCAGGACCCAGCAAACCTCAGAGCATCTGGAGCCTGCACGGTATTAGACCCGGACGTAAAGTGGACGCAGCCTTTCTAATAGTCACACAAAAACTAAAAGAACAAAATGAAATGAAATAATGGCCACAAAAGATTCCGGGTCAAGATGGCAGATTAAACACACTGATCGGTTCCCATCTGCAAAGCCCACTTCAACCGCACAAGAAAGGGGACTTTAAAAGACATCTACCCCTGAGGGTGGTGAAACCCACGTGTAGATGGACCCACGGTAACTGCTCACGGACGAGAGAGAGAGAGAGAGAGAGAGCGCGCCCTGGACAGAGAGGGGGGAGGTGAGCATTTACAGGATTTATTTTATTTGACTTTATTTTATTTCATTTATATTTTAAAGAGAGAGAGACAGAGAGAGAGAGCATGAGCTGGGGAGAGGGGCAGAGAGAGACGGGGAGAGAATGTTAAACAGGCTCCACACTCAGCATGGAGCCCAATGTGGGTCTTGACCCCACGACCCCGGGATCATGACCTGAGCCGGAATCAACAGCCGGACGTTCAGCCGACTAAAAGCCGCCAGAACTGATGGACACAAGCTCCGGGTTTGAAAGAAGAAGCCCCCGTGGAGGAAAGCAGACTCGCCCCCGAGAGCAGCGGTGTGACCCCCACCAGGGGGGACACTTGGGACAGAGAGAAGGTTCTATGAGATTCCCAGGAAGAAAAAGAAGCTGTGCCCAAAGCGCAAGGGAACAGAGTCTCCTGGCCTTTCAACAGCTACCCTGGAGGGAGGAAAACGCCCTTACAAGTCTGGATGAAAAGCGCCTCCAAGCCCGAATTCCACGCCCCGCCAATTTGCACCTGGCGCGGAGGAGGGACAAAGGCATCTTCAGACAGTCGCGTCCTAAAAACTCATCCCCCAGCTGATCAGGACTTTCTACAGGATGTGGCCCATGGAGGTGAGAAAGTAAGCGGCGCGGCGGAGCGAGAGCCCCGCGGATGCGCCCCAGGGACGGCAGGGACAGCCCCTGGGGCCGTGGCCGCAGGTGGGTGTTGAGGACCCCCAGTCCCTGTGGGCGCAGAGGGACTAAGGGCCCAGATGCGCCAGCACCGCTGCACTGACGGTCCCTTGCTTTGTCCTGACCGCGTGTGAGGTTCCCGCCTCCTGCCCTGGCCCGTGTGAATTTCCTGCACAAAACCCCACGACGTGAGTGGCCTGAGACAGCGCCTTTCTCATGTTGCAGGGCTGTGGCCGGGGGTCTGAAACGGGCCGCCCCAGGGGAAAATCGAGGTATCAGCGGGCCTGGGTTCCTGGGGGACGGTCTGGAATACATTTCCTTGGCTCTTCCAGCTTCAGAAGGCCGCCCGCAGTCCTTGGCTCAGGACCCCCTTCCATATTCGAGGCCAGTCGAGCCTGTCGGCCTCCCTCCACCACTTTGAAGGGCCCTCGCGATGACGCTGGGACCCCCAGATGGATACGGGACAGCCCCCCTTTCTCAAGGTTGGCTGACTGGCCGTCTTAACTCCATCTGTAGCCTTGACCCGCACCCCCTCGCCCCTGCCCCCTGCACTGGTTTCCTCCCCCCACCCTTGTGCTCCAACGCTTTGACCACTTGTGCCTCAGGGCCTCAGCACTGGCTGTTCCCTCTGCCCAAATGCTGTTCCCTAGACGCTCACAGCGTTCCCCTCTCACACCGTCGTGTCTCTGCTCAGACGCCAGGCTCTCTCCTCACCTCGCTCCTTTGTTGTTATTCCCCGCATAGCGCAGAGACCTTGAACCCGCTGACCTTGCTTCCTGCTGCCTTCCCCAGGAGGGCATGAGCTCCGTGGCGGGGGCGGGGGGGGGGGGGGGGGGCTGTATCTGTGTCGGTCACGGCTACGCCTCCGGGCCTCATCCCTTGACCTTCACCCGCCCCAGACACCACTGCCTTTCCTTCCGCAGCGAGGCACCAGCAACCTGCTTTCTGTTTCTCCAGATTTGCCTGTCCCGGAGACTTCACATAATGTGCTTATTTGTTGATTTGGGGGGCGGGGGAGGGGCAGGGAGAGGGAGAGGGCGAATCCCAAGCAGGCTCCGCGCTGTCAGCGCAGAGCCCGATGCGGGGCTCGATCTCCAGAGCCGTGAGATGGTGGCCTGAGCCCAAATCGAGAGTCAGACGCTCAACCGATTGAGCCCCCCAGGCACTCCTCTGGACACTTTATACAGAGTCGTATGGTACGTGGCCTTTTGCGACTGGCGCATCATGTCTGCAAGGTTTATTGTGTGATAGAAATGTCAGTGCCCCTTTCAGGAGCCAAATGAGAATCCGTGGTGTGGAGGGACTACCTGCCCTTTTATGGTGATTTTAATGCTCCTCACTCATTTCAGTCCGAATGAACTCGGCCGCTAGACTCTGGATCTGTAACGAAGCTGTAAACTGAGTCACAGAGATGGTTAACACAAAACGCAGGTAGTGGGTTCCCTCTGGGCTGGGGGAGGGGGCTGCCCAGACAGCCCCGAGGAGAGTGGCCGTGGGTTTGTGCTTCACCGAGGTGCTGGGCCAGTGCTCACGGTCCCTTCGCGGGGAGCACACACCCCTGGCACGCTCTGCCTGCTGTGTGCTCGGTTCCAAATTTAATAAGGATTTCAAGGTGAGCATGAAGGTTTTACCCATGTATGCTCAGCGGTGATTTTTTAAAATAATAGGTGTATTGAGATAGAGTTCACATATCATAACATTTACCGTTTTACAGCGAATGACGCGGCAGCATTTAGTACGGCCAGCTCGTTCTAGAGCACTGTCCTCACCCAGCAGGAGACCCATGTCCATCAGCAGCCACCGCCGCCCCACTCTCTTCTCCCCCAGTCTGTGGATTTTCCTGTCCTGGACATTTCTTGTGCGTGGACTCAAACAACACACACCTTGTGACCAGCTTCCTTCACGGAGAATAATGTTTCTGAGTTCACACACGTCGTAGCTTGTGTTAGTACTCTGCTCCTTCTCGTGGCCAAGGACGCCTCCACGGAATGGGCAGACCACATCGCGTGGACCCACTAACGGTGATTTTCCTGTTCCTCATTCATTTCAAGGGGCTGACTCTGCAGCCAGCATCACTGTGGGCTCCAGAAGGACCCGAGGACCTCCTCCTTCTGCTGAGCTCTGCACTCGCTTCTGCAGGAAGCATTCGGAGTCTTTCAGCCTCCGAACTTAGAGTTCAAAAGCAAAGCTCTCAAGGGGACTGTGGATTTGGAACCGTTTTTGCCATCTGGACCCGGCCGTGCCGGGCTGACCCGGGCAGAGAGCTTTCCGGTGTCCCCGGCCGAGCAGAGAGAAGGCCAAGTGTGCCCGCATCTGACTGGGGAGCCAGCCTTCAATGAATGACGTCACTCGGAGAACACGGTCTCGGTTTGTAGGGTTTATTTATGTTAAGAAATCCACATACGATGCCGAGTGTTCAATGGCTGTTTAAGTGATAGTTTTTCCTTTTTCGTGAGAGTTGGAAGATGATAAACAGCTCCAGCTGTAAAAATTAAAGGCAGAAGTGAAGCCAAGGTGCTTATTACGCAGAAAGGCTGAGTGGGGAGGGGGTTTGGCCCTTCCCCCCTCTCAAATGAAAATTACTCTCTGCCGTAACGTGCCACGAACAATTACCTGCTGTTTATTAATTAGCCTCTGTTAAAAGCACCGCATTGCTGCTAGAAACTGTTCTTTCTCTAATGTGAAAACGGGTTTCTTCATGTTTATTAGAACAACCAGGTCCCACGTGGTCCGGGCTCAGCGAGTACTCCACGGACACGTCTATTTTTTAAACGACACATTTTGTGACTGGAAATATCTCAGCAGAGGCCCAGATACTGACCCTGAGTCACTGGACGTGTCAGCCCCACGCTGAGCCCCCAGAACCACCGGCTGCGGGGTGGGGCGTGGCCCCCGGGGCTGCCGCCGAAGGGTCCTGGGGTGGCTGCCCCTGGGGTGGGTGTTGGGAAGGGAAGGGAGACACGGACTCCCCAGTGAGAACTGGGCTCTGAGGAAACACGGACCTCGGACGGCTCGGTCTTTCTGGACACCCACGAATAAACGCCTTGGCCACTGTCAGGAGCACGCAGGCAAGCCAGCACGCCCTCTGGGGCGCACCCCCCGCACCACAAGGAACCCGAGAAAGGGTCCCAGGTGGGGACCCCTCTGCAGCAGCCCCTCTGCAGCCCGCGCCCTGGAGACCTGGGTTGTGGGGCACACGCTAGCCGCAGCAGGGCTTGGCACTCAGGCAGATAAAGCCCGCCCTCCGGCTCCCGGTGTGCGCCTCCCATCCAAAAGGTGCATTGGTGTGAGGGTCCCAGGCGCCGTGATGAGCACCCAGAGCCGACGGCCAGCACCCCGCCTGGCGAGGGAGCCCCAGCACCGCAGGCCAGGGAGTCCCACGGGGCCACCAAGTTCCTCTCTCTCTGCCGTCACCCCCTGCCCCCAGCATCCCTCTGAGGCCCCCCTGAGCAGGTTGGCTTCCTTTTCCAAGTCATGAATGACACAGCTGGGACCTGGGTGCTTGGTCACTGCCGTGTCCCCCTCATGTGGGACCCACACTGGCTGCTCAATGTGGGGCAGCCCTTTGCGGGGCGGGACAGGTGCCGGACAGGGCACTCGGCCCCGGGCACCGAGTACGAGTGACATCTGGTAAGGTTGCCCCTCATTCCCTTTGGCCTCGGGACTGAAATCAGATCTAAGAGCCACTTTCTTCTCACTGAGTGCTCTTGGTTCATTTGTGACTCATTCTTTCACTCATGGAGCCCCGCGTGAGCTCCAGAATTTGCACTAGCCCTGGGGCTTCGTAGGGCGCAAGACGCCCGGGAAGCTGCAGGTGTGCCGAGGAAGACAGCCCCCGCATCTGGCAGCAGCTGGTAAGTCCCACCAGCACCCCGCCTTCCGATGCCCCTGGCCATGTGCCAGAGAATGGAGGGATGGACGGACGGAGGAGCAAATGCCGTGTCTGCAGCTTGGTCCCAGAGCCTTGGCCTCGTGGAGGGCAGAGCGGTACCTGTGAGAAGACCAGGGCAGGCCAAGGTCGGAGGGCGGGGCCTGACTCTGGGAGCCCATTAAGACCTGCAAGGTTCTGTGGGCCCCGAAGCTCCCGGGAGCCCCGTCCTTGCCTGGTCTGATGCCCTCTGTGTCCAGTGAGCCGAGCAGCTGCTCTGCATGGCTGCAGCTCAGAGCCCCTAGAGACAGACCTGGGTTCCGGACACAGAGGGTCGGAGGGTGAGGGCATCCCCGCTGATGACAGTGATGACAGCCCGAAGTGTCAGCCGGGGTCTGCACGCAGCCGTCTCCACAATACCCCCCACTTGGTGGCCCCAAATTACACAGTAGGAAGTCAGGGTGCCCAGGAAGCTGGGGGACAGACTCAGGGTCCCAGAGAGAGTGGGGTCTGACGCAGCTAAAGCTCTTCCTGTCTTCAGCCTCCACCCTGCTCTCTCTAGGACCCAGGCAGGGAGGGGAGCAGGGAGGCCCAGTGTGCACATGGCTGCCCCTCACCCTGGAAGTCTGCTGTTCTCCAGGGGGGCCAGGGGTCTGTCCCACTAATGGGGAGCTGCCCCAGGCCTGGCACGCACGGGGTCCTCAGTGGGGTGTGTGGGCTCGCATGAGCTGGTGTGTTCCTGCCACCTGGGCCCCCTTCCTTCATGGGAGCTTCCTCCAGAAGGCAGGAGGGAAGGACCGGGCAGGGCGAGGGGCACAGGGGCGGGGTGGAGGGGGTGGACAGGGTTAAAGTCGACCTCAGGCACCAGAGCCAAGACAGGCACGGGCCCTCCCCCTTCCAGAGCGCTGGCCATGGGTGCCAGCCCCTGGGGCAGCAGGAGGAGGCCCCATCCTGGGAGGGAGGACTCCCTACTGATCCCACCGCCTCGCCGCCCTCAGCAGGGGAGGTGAAAGTTTCCCCTCCACCAGCCACCTGCCCCACATTACTGGTTTAGAAGTAGCACAGGGGCGGGGTGGACGGAGCGTCCCCTTGGTCACCCCGTTTCCCTTCCCAGCTCCCCCGTCGGTCCTGCGCAGGGTAGTGGTGGTCCGGACGAAGGGGCTCAGGCCGCGCCCCTCCCTTTGGTTCCCCAGCCCCAGCCCCCGACACCACTCAGCGGGGGATGAGCACCCCCCTCCCCCGCACGCCCTCAGGGCCCCGCCCTCAGGGCCCCGCCCAGGCGCAGGAACTCCCGGGCGGCCCGCAGCGAGGGGAGGAGGAGGGAGAGGGGCGTATTCCGTCTTGGGAGCTCAGCAGGGACTAGGGCCCCTACGCTGTCTTCGCTGGAGGGCAGCCCCAGGACCCCCCTCTGCGGGGCCTGGGGTGCCCGGTGGTACCCAGAGCTGGGGTCTGGGGTGTTAAGCCTCCTTGCGTCCTGGCCCCCAGGACCCTGAGAGGGCAGGCGGGGAGCCAAACCGCAGGCAGGGGCAGAGAGGAGACCCGGGCTGGACCCCCACACCGCCTCCACCGGGCCCTGCAGAGGGCGGTTCCGACCCGGCTGGTCACACGAAAGGCCCGAACCGCTCCAGGGCTCCCTGGGCTCGTCCTGGGCACCACCTCCGGGCTCCGCGCAAACAGGCCCGAAGGGGTGGGCTGCGCACGCTCCCTCCGCCTGGGGTTTCCATTCTTCAGCTCCCCAACCTACCCACACAGACCCGTGTGAGGGGCGGGGGGGGGGGGATTCGGGCCCACTTCACAAATGGGAAAACTGAGGCGGGAAGAAGAAACCCATCGCAGCTTTCCCAAGACTCTAGTGTGTGGAGCCCCAGGAGCAAAGGCGAAATTTGGTTTCCAAACCAAGAGGGTCCCTGGTGTGGGGGCGGGGACCAGGGGCCTTGCAAACCGACGGGCCCAGGGGCGCAACCGACCTGGGGAGTCCGCTCAGTTATCAGGAGGCTGAGTCGAGGTTCCCGCCTCTGGGGCTTCGGGGGAAGCGGCGGGCGGGCTCCCACCCAGAGGTTCCCGCGACTCGGCCTCCTGGAGAGCGACTCGACTCGCTGTTTTCGTTGCCTCCCGGGTCTTACCCGAGCCCAGCCGAGCAAGAGGAGGCTGCCGCGTCCACGCGGGCAGCGAGCGATCTGCGGGGCCACCGTGCGGCCTCCGCTGCGCGAAGCTCCGCGGCGCCCGGTGGAACGAAGCCGCTCCCGGCGCGCAGGCGGGCGGCCGCGGGGGTGAGGGCGGCGCGGGGTGAGCGGAGGGCTCCGGATCCGCGCGATCCGACCCCGGAATTCGTTGGCGGATTTTTAAAGGTCTGGGATGGAGAGAGAAAGCGTGGGAAACCGATCCCGTTGGTTGCTCCCGCCGCCGGGGCCGCAGCCCGCGCGCAGCTGCGGGGGCCTCGCCGCGTAACCGCCGCCCGGTCCGGGGCCCATGGCGCGCGCCCCGCGGAGGAAGCAGCATTTGGGGGGCTGCCTGCGCTCCCCGGAGAGCCGGGTTGGGCCCGGAATCCTGGGAGCCAACTCGGTCCCAGGGAGCTCACATGGGGGGTTCAGGCCCACAGCTTCAATCTCTTCCATTAAAAACAAAACAAAAAAATTCCGGATTACGTCCGGCAAGCGCACGTGGCAGACCCCAAGTGCAGAGGCGCCTGCGGCTGTGCTCCTGAGAGACAGTTGCCTGCAGCCAGGGCTCTAGGATGCAGATTACGGCAGAGACATCTCCCGGGGACCCACCCCAGAAGCTGCCCGTCGGCGAGGGACCAAGTCGTCCTGCCTTGGAAGGAAGTAGGTTTCCGAACGTCTGGGTTTTGTTGGAAATCGTTACATGGTTCACATTCCTGGGACGGGTTGGCTGGGAGCGTCCAGGCACCGGCAGCACCCACTCCCTGGGGAACCTGCACTGGGAACCGCACAGGGAGCAGCCTTGCACCCCACGGGAGCGCGTGGTGGGCCAGAAGTCAGGGCCTGTGTCCTCTGTCCCCTAGAGTTTGCTGGGTGGAAGGCGGTTTCCCCGGCCTTGGGGTGGGATGAAGGGCAAAAGTGGGCCTGAAATACTAACCCCAGAGCCTTGGGAGGCTCCTGTGGCCCCTGCTAGGGGACGACAGACACCGAGGAGGTTGTCTGTGGCGCCTCACACCACGCGCATTCTGGGCCAAACACTCCAGCTAGCTCTCGGCCTACCCTGGAAGCCTCTGCATTTGGTTTCCACCGAGTCCCCTGCTGGGCGGGGAGCAAACCAGATTGTCCCCCAGCACCCCCAGTGGTCTCCAAGCCTTTGTTTGCTCAAATCTGGGAGGCATCGCCCCCAACGTGGAGCAGGAGAAGGTGCCCAGAGGAGGGGCCCTCCCACCCCAGTCTGATTCACTGTCCCTGTGATGGGGGGCGGGGCCAGCAGTCCCATAGGTAAACTGAGGGAGAGGCGCTTTTATTCTTTTAAGCTACTCAGAATTTTTCTGAGCAGGAACTGGAGATGAGCAAAGCCTGACCCGAAGTCCAGTCGAGCCCCGAGGCTGAGGGCCTGAGGGCCTGAACGCCCCGCCAACTTTCAGGAGCACAGATAGAAACAGGGAAGGGGGAAGGGGTGAGAATCCAGCCCATCTGCCTGCCAGTCCTGCCTCCCAGCGCCCCGGCTGCAGGGGGGCTCCCTGGGGCGGGAGCGCCTGGGCACGGGGGCTGGGTGCCTGCTAGGAGGCCAGGCACCCACCTCCGGGCACCTGCACGTCACAACGCAGACCCCCAGAGGTGGGGCCTTAAGAGTTGGCACGAAACACGGGTCCTAGCCCGGCAAAGGGACCCTCTAGTCCAGGAGTGAGTAAACCCTGGGGGCACACAGGAGGCACTTCTGGGCTTCTTGGGCGTCCTGGAGTTGGGGACCCCCTTCCTTGTTGCCCATTGAGGACCCACTTGCTCACCCCCCCAGCCCGGCCCTTTCCTGACAGAGTTCATCTGATCCTAGGTCTCCAAGCGCACCTCCGGGCTTGTAAGAAAGGCTGTGGTAGGCAGAGCTCCTGACTAAAGCCAGACTCCAGGCTGTGGCAAAGGTTGGCACAAAAGTCCTCTATCAAGTACCCCAGACCCCGGCAGCAAAGCCGGTTCCCAGACTCAACAGCCTGAAGGCTGTGCCCACATAGCCCACACCTCACCCGCCTCTGACCACTGGACCCTTTGGCCCATGGCCGAAGCCCGGGTTACAGTGCGGGTCCCCTAGCCCAGTGTCGGCCACAAGAGTCCCTGAAGCTTGGCTTGGCTTGAAAACTGCCCTCCAACGGGCTGCTGTCCACAAAATGAAACCCGCCCCTCTTCTAGTGGCCCCCGCTGGGCCCATACCTGCTCCCAAATGTCCCCAAGGGTCTGCAGGGCAGGGCCAGGATCTGGACTTGCGTCTGATTCCCCCTTCTTCGCCCTTGTCTCTGCAGGAATCTGTGATGCCTGACCTGTTCTCGGTTCTAAATCTGGCCACGCGGGGGCAGGGCCCGGCCAGGCCAGGGCCCTGGCCTTGAGGACGGTCTGCCCAGGCTCCTGGAGCCGCTGGGGGGATGGGGGCGATCCCTCTGCACCTGCGGGAGCCAGCAGCCAGGTTGTCTCCTGGCCATTCCGGACCCCTACTTCCTTCTCCCCGGGCAGGGCCCCCCTGAGCCGCAGCCCACCCCCCCCCCCTCCAGCCCAGGGCTCTGGAGGAGGGCAGGGAAGAGCCAGCTCATGCCCTCCTTCCCCAGACCCTGGAGGAGGTACAGTACCAGAGTCTAGAGAGTGTCATGGCCCAGAAGATTTAGTTGCCTTGTGAGCTGAGCTTGACGGCCAGAGTGAGCTGGGGTGTCCCCAAGAAGAGACGGGGCCTTCCTAACCTTGCAGCCTGCTGGCCACCTCCAGGGCAGGGGAAAAGGAAGCCCGAGCTGCGCTGGGGGTGGGGGAAGGTGGGGGAGGACCTTCTCCGCAGGCAGGAGTGCTTCACAGGCCTCACAATTCGACTTTGCTAGGAGGCTCCCGAGGAGGAGGGGGTCCCGGGGTGCGGAGGTATGAGCGTGACCTTCTGTTCTCTTTGGCCAGTGGCCCCAGACAGGGCAGGTCCGCGGGCTGGAGCCAACTTGGCTGGGCGAAGTGGAATAGCTCCCAGCTCTGGGCTCCAGGTGCCTTCCTCCCCTTCCATGTGACCCCTACCCCGGGCCGGAGTGGGCTCTCAGCCTGCTAGGGTCTGCAGCCAGGCCCCAGTCCCCCATGGGGACCACCCATCATGACCCCCAGAGCCTGGCAGCCAGGCCGGGGACCCTCTGGACCTGGTGGCTCTCCACCCAGCCTACGGGGACAGAGACTGTGGGGCGGGGGTGACAGGCACTGGGACAGACTGCAGGTAGTGGGACCCGGCCGCCAGGTGAGCTCCCTGCGCCAGGGCGGGCAACACTCACCTGTGGCCGGAAGCAGCAGAGGCTGCGATCAGCAAGGAAGCGCCTTGGCCGTCTGGGGTGGCAAGCGGGGGGCTACCGCCAAGGCCACGGGCGCTCTGTCGACGTTGGAATTCAGACGAGAAGGCAGCTGTGGGTTGCGGGGCGCAGAGGCCCAGCGCGTCGCCGCCTCTACCCCCGCCGAGCCCTGCTCTGTTGAGCTTTCCCTTGGGGGGGGGGGGCACCCGCCACGCGCCCCTCGCCGTGCGGAGGGCCTCCGCCAGGACCCCGGGGTCTCGGTGTTAGCTGTTCCGCCGCTGCGGTTCACCTCTTTCCCGGGAGGCTCGGAACGCAGGTCCCGGCGGAGGCGCCAGCGGCCTCACTGCACAACAAACGGGGAGCGGCCGGCGGGGAGCCCACCCGCGGCAGCCGAGACCCGCACCGAAGGCTCGGCCTCTGCCCTGCTCGGCGGTCTCGGGGACGGCCCCCGGTGCTGCAGCCCGCGGGGCTCCCGAACGAGGAAGCGCGGGGTCGGCGCCTCCTTTTGCCCCCGTCTCATTCTCGAATCCCAGACACCCTTGAATGAGGAATTCGCACTGTCCCCACCGGGACCCCGGCCCGGAACCCCCGCCCGACCCTCTGCGCTGCGGGACCGCCGGGCCGGCTCCCGGCCTCTGTCCGCCACCTGCTCCGCCGGCCCTTCCGCCCGCGACGCACCTGGGCCGCGAGAGGCCCCTTCCCCGCAGGTGGCCCCGCGCGGGGGTGGCGCCGCGGGGTACTCACCTGGGGTCCGCGGAGGCGGGCGCGCCCCGAGGGCGGCGGGGTCCGGGCGCCGAGGTTCGGACGGCCGCCCCCGCGCAGCCTCGGCGGTGACGGGCGCGCGGCTCCCGGCGGCTCGGCGCGGACCGAGGGCGGCGGGTCCGGGCTGCACCCGCCGCCGGGGCTGCGGCGGAGCGCGGAGCGGGCGGCGCCGCCGCTGTTGTTTTTGAGCCGCGGAGCCCGGAGCGGCGGAGGGGGGTGGGGGCGGAGGCGAGGGGCGGGAGCCGGGCCGGCCGAGGGGGGCGGCGGGGCCCGGAGGGGGGCTTCGGAGGAGCCGGGTTGGGCGCGCGCGCCCGGACACCCCCTCGGGCGACCGCGGGCCGGGGCGGGGGCGGCGGGCAGAGGCCGGGAGGAGCGCGGGCTGGGGCGACGGCGAACGCAAAGCTCTTTAATTGGGAGTCAAATGCGGTAGAACGAAGCAGACCCGGCCAGACCCGCGCCCGAACTCCCGCGGACCGGAGCGGGGGGCACGAACGCGGCCGCCCCTCGGTCTCCGGCCCGGGTCGAGGCGGCAGCGGCGGAGCGACGCGGCGCAGGGGACGGGTGGGGGCATAGTCACCTCGCCTCCGGGGCCACCTGGGTCCTTTTAAAGTGTCCGGGGTGCGGGCCCCGGGCGGGAGCGCCGTGCACGGAATGTTTTCTTAAAGGGCCAGTTCCGAGCTGCGCCGAAAAGGGGGGGGGGGGGGGGGGGGGGGGGGGGGGGGGGGGGGGGGGGGGGGGGAGAGGGGGCGGGGGGGAAGAGATAAGTGAGTCGAAGACCGGGAAGGCCGAGGAGAGCCCCCCAATCCCGCGCCGAGGCGGCGGCGGCGGCGGCGGCGCGACGATGAGGATGATGAATACATTGCAAAGTTTTTTTGGCCCCGGCGAGGGGTGTCAGATTGAGTGCTCTGTGCGCATGTGCGAAGGTGTCCAAACTGACAATGCTGGGGAGATGAAGATAGTGTGTAGCTGCTTCTGGACTCAAGGAGGAGGAGAGAGATTCCGCGAGCCGACACCATGCGATCCAAGGCGAGGGCGAGGAAGCTAGCCAAAAGTAAGTCTCCCGCGCTCGGCCGCGCCGCGCCGCCGGGTCCCGGCCGCGGGGCCGGGGCGCCCGGGCCAGGGGTGCGCGTCGGGGCGCGGCCGGCGCGCCCTGGGCTCCCGGCCCTCGGATCGGCCGCGCGGCCCGGGGGCTGCTCCGCCTCCCGCGCTCCGGGGCGGCCGGGCTCGGCGCGGAGGCTCGGGGCGCCCGGGCCGCGCGCTCCCCGAAGGCGCCGGCCCCCTCCTCGCGAACCCCCTCCCCCCACCCCCCCAGTGTCAGGCGCTCGGGCCCGGGAACCCGAGGCGCGCGGTGGGGGCCGGGGAGGGGGGCGGAGGGGGAGGGCTGGGGGTGGAGGGGAGCGAAAAGCGAAAGTTAGCGAAAAGTTGACGAAAGGGGAGAGCAACTTTTTCCTCCCCGCTCGCTCTCTCCCTCTCTCTCTCGGAGTGGCTCTCAGTCCTGGTCAAATCATATTCCGGGCTTTTGAAATAGTGGGCGCTAGAGCACCGCCTTTGGCGTCCGCCAGCTGGGCGCAGAGGAGGGAGACCCCGAGCCGGGGAGGGGGCGGAGGAGGGGGCGCGGGCCGGCGTCCTCCCAGCTCCGCGGGCGCAGGGGCAGGGGCGGCGGCGGCAGGACGGCCTCGGCTACTCGGGGAGCAAAATGGAGCCGCTTCCCCGGGCTCGGAACTGCGGTCGGGAAGTTTATTCTCGACTGGTGGCCCGCGCGGGGGCAGGCGCTGCTCCGAGGCTCGCGCAGCCCCGGCGCGGGTGCCTCGGGCAGGAGGGTCCCCACCCGGCCGCCTTCGGCCCCGCTCGGCCCCGCTCGCCCCCCTGCGCCTTGTCGCCCGGCACAGCCTGGAGGCCCGGCGGGGACAGAGCTGCCCCCGGCGACGCTGCCCGGTCCCCGGTCTTACTTTCTCTTTCGCTCCGTCTCGGGCCGAGCCCCAGGCTCCGCGCGCCCGGCCCGCCGCCGGCCGGGTCCTCGCCGCCGCCCGGGTGCGCCCCGCCGCCCGCCCCCGCCGCCCGCCGCCGCCGCCGCCGCCGCCGCGCCCCGGGGCCGCCCGCGCGCCCTCCGCGCCCCGGCCGCCGGCACCTTCGCCCGAGAGGCCCGCGGGCCCGGGAGCGCGGCCCGGGAGCCGGGCAGGTGGGAGCGGCGGCGCGGCTCCCGAAGCTCGGCCGAGGCCCGGCTGCAGCGAAGCGGCGAGCGCCGCGCGGAGAGGAGCCCGCGCCGCCTGCCCTCGCCGCCCCCGCCCCCGCGGGCCCCTCGCGCGACCACCAGGCCGTTCAGTTTTCTCTCCTCTCCGGCCTGACCCGGCCCGGCCGAGCCTCGCCGCACCGGGGCCGAGCCCCTGAGCGTGAGCCTCGGTGGGCCGGAGACTCCCACACTTTCCCGGAGAAGTTCTGCTCTGCTGACTGGGTCGGCCCGGCTCCCCGCGGATGGCGGCCCGCGGCGGGAGGCCCCGCGTCCACGGCCCGCCGTGGGGGAAAAGCAGCTCCCCCGCCTCCGCAGGGCGCCCCTGGGGTCCCCCCCGCCCGGGGCTGGCGGGGCTCCTCCTCGAGGCTCCGCTTTCCAGCCCGTCTCCCCTGCCCGGTGCTCAGAGCCTCGGCCTCCTCCACCTCCTGTGACCTCTGGTCCCTCTTGGTGCGAACAAGGCCCCAGTGTCGTGTGGCTGGTGCACTGCCTGTGGGCCCGTGGCCGTGGGCTGTGGGCGTTCCCTGCGCCGTTGGGGTCTCTGAGTGAGCCCACGGGTTTCCTCAGAGTCTCTCCCCTGGGCTGCAAGCTGCCCCATCAGGCTCCCTAAGGGGCCGCAGCTTTGAGCGAGAAAGTGGAACGCGCCGCGCTCTCTCTGGGCCTTCGCTGCAAGCGAGAGGCGGGCTCTGTGCCCCCAGAGCAGCCCTGGGAGCAGCCCCGGCCGCCCTCCACCCCGCACAGGTGGGGAAGCTTGAGTGGCCGGCTCTTCTCAGGATCTAGACCTGGCGCCTGGCAGCGGCCGAGAGCCTGGCCCTGAGGCCGGGGAACCAGAGCCGAGGGTAGGGCAGAGCCCAGGGTTCCCCTTCCTGGGAGTCCCTAGTGAGGCAGAGCCCCGCACAGTGTGTGTGTCCCGGCCGGGCCCCGCTGGAGCCCACGCTGGGGCAGCCCCCCAGCCCTCCCCGGGAAGGGGGCCGAGGCAGGCACAGGGCGCCGCACCCGCTGTGGAATTTCATTTCACCGGAGGATATTTTAAGCAGATGTGGACGTCCCCGGGGACCTGCCTCCATTACCTGAATCTGAGGAGGCAGGGCAGCCCCAGGCGGCCAACAGAACCGCCCCCCCTTCTAGACCAGATCCCGGCGGGGGTCGTGGGCTGGGGGAGGAACAGGGGTCACGGTCAGGAGGCCGCCATGCCGCTGGCTGGGCTGGGCCGGAGGCCGCGTGAAGCATAACCTGGTCAGTGAGCGTCAGTCCCTGCGTCGAGCGCGGGGGCTGCCCTCGAGGGTGCAGCTGGGGCGGTGATTTCGTTTGTGTTTCCCCAGGACCCCGCTCCAGGGGCTCCCCTGCTGGGCCTGCGTGTTTACCGAGTTGGTAGCACCTTTGGGACTCACACTGGGGGCTCTGACTTGAGGGCACAGGCCACTGAAGGGCTCACCGTCTCCTCCGTGTGAGCCCAGACAGCTGCGGGCGGACTGAAGACCGGGGTCCCCCAGAGTCCCCTCGAACTGGCCAGGGCACTGCTGGCCTGTGGGGAATCGAGGCCGTCCCTGCCCTACATTTAAAAAATGAAATGCCTAACAAAACCTTTGTGTTTCTGCTGCTGTTGGCAGTCAGGAGCAGGTGGGGGGTCAACAGAGCCAAGGTGCCCCCCTCCCGACCTCCTAACACAGCTGGGGGACCCCGTGCAGGGGAAGAGGTGCCCCCAGAGACTGTGTCCCGCCGCAGCCCCCATCAGAGCGGCGCCTGAGACCAGATCCCTTCGGCGCACAGACTCAGACACACGTATTCCAGGCCCGGGGTTAGTGTCCTCGGAGCGGCCGCCGCCTGGCCCCCGGCGCGGAGCTGGGGGCCGCCGCCTCTGCCCGACGCCCGGCTCGGTGTGTCTTGTACGTGTGCTCCAGAGCCACGCGTGTGCGGAAGGTGCGTGTGCGATACAGGGTGCGGGGTTGGCCCCCGCCAAACCCGCCGGGCTCCGGCTCTGCTGGGCCCTGCTCCCCGCCCCTCCCCCACCCCTCCCCGCCCGGGCACCAGGGGACGTCTGCCCTTTCCACCGGTTCTGTTTCCCCGGAGCCAGGCCAGCGGCCTCGAGTCCGGAGGCCTGGAAGGGCAGCGGCGCCGGGAAATGCCCGGCAGGAGTGGAGCGCCTGGCCCGCTTCGGGCGAAAACGCGGAGGCTGCGGTGAGGGGCGGGGTGCAGGGCTGGCGGCCAAGGCCAGGTGCCCCGCGGTGGTGCGCTGAGTGCCTGAGGCTCCGTCTTCGACACTGGCCTCGCGGGTGTGCCTCGGCGCCCATGCCTGTGGGCGGGGGTGGATGCCAAGTGCTGTGGGTTGCGTGACCTCCGAGCGGGCTCCCAGGGGAAGGGCACTGGCTGTGCCCTCAGGTCCTCATCAGGCCTCCCTGCACCTCCCGCGGGCTGCTGGTCTGGAGCAGGTGCGGCTGGGCCTCCGGCCCCTCCGGGCCCACAGCCGTGGGGATCGTGAGATCCCCTTGTGGGCACAGCTCGGAGCTGGGGAGCTGGTCCCCAGGCGGGTGCTGGCGGTGGGGCCGGCCAGAGGCTCCCCCCACTGGGCCCCCAGGAGGAGGCCACCAGCTCGCAGGGCGGCTGTGGGC